CATACAAAATCTTACAGGATATTCCTTTATGCCTTGCTTAAACCTCTAAAATATACCCATGGACCAACAACTTTCTGGAAAATTCAGAACAAGGGAAAATAAATATAAAGTGAAACCTTCTTACATAATCATCTTTTGAATTGTAAATTCAAAATAACCTACTTAAAATATATGTCATATATTCTGAGCTAACTATTTTCCATTAAACCAACAATTCAGACAAAATTTTCACAATGTCAAATATTGTACCCTAAAAGCCATACATTATACAGTGTTTTAAAAACTGTCTCTTACAGCATAGAGTTGTTTTAAAAATCATTATGCCTACATTCAAGAAGCTGTTTTTATATCCTGTGTTTATTGTATTTTATTGAATAAACACATTTTGGTTATTGTGAAGCTTTTCTAAACATATGAACCATTGAAATCTGTGTTGATAAATATTTTAGAACTTAAAAATTTACCTTCAAAATTTAAACATACAGAAATAGACTTACACTATATTTAATTATATTAGTCTGGAATATAACACATAAGTTGTTTAATATCAACTAACTGTTGGGTTTTATATGTATAAAACAGACAGGAGAAGTCCTTTTAAGAAATCCTTTTATTAGGCCCATCCTGTCTTTTATAAGGTAAAGTCACTAGACAGTACAGGAAGTAGCCTTCTGAGTCTCTAACAATTTACATTTTTAGCTCTCATACTACTTGTATAATCACAATGTAGAGGGAAAATATTATAGTGGTTTGTAATGTTTAATAACATCAAATATGTAAGCATTATATTTTAATTTATTTTGATAGCTTATGAAAACCATTATGGATCTATTTTAAGATTGTGAAAAATGTTAATTTCAATTCGAGCTAGTCACTGATTTTAAATGTACCTGCTTCATTGAATTGAAAAGATAATGTGTAAGAAGTTTCAGTACATTTTACACTTGTTATTTACTTAAGTATGAACAATGTTTCTTCATTTTGAAAAACTTAAATTTGATTCATAAACGAAAATATCTACAGTTAATATAGTACTGAGAATTGCACCATTTTTATAGCTTAAAAGTAGAAAGGTAGCAATATTTTCCTAATGAAAGGCAAATTATCCATTTGAGTGTGTGTGTGTGTGTGTGTGTGTGTGTGTGTGTGTGTGTGTGTGTGCATGGCATCTCAAGTGGTAGAGTCAAAAGCTACAAGGAAATTTCCAATGGAGGCAAAAATTTTCACTGCAGTGTAAATTTGGGGAATGCCCCTCATTTCTATTTTATTTGAGGAAGTAAAATCCTCTTATCTGTTACCCTGACACCCAAGAAATAGCTTAAAATGTCACAACCCAATCTACCCTCTTCCTCTTTTCATGGCTTATTAAGCAAAATGGCTGGACTTTTTATGGTCCCTTCTGGTTCCAACCATCTAAGATTCAAATAGGAGTAATGGCTTTTCTTGTTCAGTAATGTCCTGTTGAGGGAACACTTTTACTGTCCTTTTCTGTGAAGTTCTGCCTGTTTATCTAAAAAGAAATGAATTACATCCGGAGGACAAGGCCACAGAATAAAGCCATTTAGTTTTACAAATCTATTATGTCCTCCAATATGTTTTATGGGCCTGGTCCTATTATAAAACAAAACAAAACCTAAAAAAAACAAAAACCCTTTTAACCTTTTCTTTCCCTTTTGCCTTCTCCAACACATGAAACATGCAGTGACAAGGAACTGGACTTTTCAAATACAAACTTCTGAACTGTCAGAAACATTTTACTGGGACTTTACTGACTGTTGCTTCAATGAATTAAGCTTGATTCACTGCTGGTGAATCATTTTCAATACAGAGCTGTTAGGCAGTAATTGGCCAAGAATCCCTGCTGAGAAAAGCACTTGTCAAATAATGCTTGTTTACAAATATATCTCCAGACAGCAAAAAGCGGCAGTTACTGAATAAGTTCAGTGCCACCTCCAAAAATTCATAACAGTTGGCTTGCCCCTTTTCCTTATTAAATTTGTCAAAGTTGTCACTTGTTGATACAGCTTGCTATTATTATCCTGCTTGATCAGAGAAATGTCTCCTGCTGAATATTCCTCTGTGTTGTTTGATAACAAAAATTTTGCATGTATTTTAAATGTTTCCTCCCATGGAGTTTATACCTGTAAAATACAACAACTATTTGTCTTGTAAATTGTTTAGAATCAAAGCTAAAAAGTAAATTTTCTGATTTTCAGTTTACAACAAATTGTCATTCTACAGAAATCTTGTATGAACAATGTCTTTATTTTTAAAAGATATATGGTTTTCTGTTCAATTCTACTTATGTTAAAAGTTATTTTTAATTATCACTATACTATTAATTTAAAGAGAAAATTTACATCTATATTTTCCTGTCTTGAAGCCTGATTTTTCTACATTATCAGAGCATTCCATATTATATGCCTGTATAACATTTATATACAACATTTTGGAAAATAGCTCTGTAGCTTTATAGGTTGGGAGAAAAATTACATGAACACAAGTTACTAATGGATTTAATATGCAATTCAACTCTTTCTGCTCCATATATTTCAAGATTCTTCAAAAATCAATTGAAAAAAAATTAGCTTAAACAGCTAAATAAATAACAGAATGCTGAACATCTATTTTGGTGTTCTATGTATAACATTAGCAGAGAAAACCAAAAAGAAGAATGTAGATTTCACAGAAGCAAAACTAAATTCCAGGATCACAGCAACTGGAGGTTGAAAACTGTTGGGCAGGATTGGTAGGAATTAGAAGGGGGGGGGGAGGCACAGATCAGGTGAAGACTATATTTCTAATTACATAAAAGAGAAAAGGCCACAACATGTGAACCCAATAACGGGAATGCTTTTTATTCTTGGGGTCTTCCAGAGGGGGAGGAAGTAAAGTGGTTGAATTTTGGGGGAGGCCTCTCCAATCCTCAGATCACTGTGACCAAGTTTTGGTGTGTATTCAGTAAACTGGGTAAGCTGTGAGCTCCAAATTTCACATCAGCCTGGCTCCCTGTTTCTCCTTCATGCTCTGCTTAAACATTAGAAGGCTGGTGGTGTTACCTCCCTGGTTTGCTTCCTGCTTCCTTCCTTTCCTGCTGCTTGATTTTCCTACCTGCATGGACTTGGCCCTGGTTTCCCCCTTGGTGCCACCCTCCCTGAAACTCTCCTTCCCCTTCTCATGGAGAGGACTCCCTTGTCTACCTCGGTTTTCCTCTCCCATAGCACATGGATTTTTTCCCCCCAAGACTGGAAATTAGAAACGGAAGACGAATGATGCTATAAACCGCTTAAAGTCAAACCAGGATGCCTCTGGCTAGCACACGCACATTCCAAAAGTCCCCTAACCCTTCTGGGAACCTTTAGGTTTCTCACCTAATGAATCGAACATGGGATGATCATAAAACGTTTCAGGACCTCAGAAAACACTTTGCAACTTTATCCGGAAGGCAAAACACAGACCGCTGGATTTGAGCATGGGAGATTATGTCTCCATACACATACGCAATCCTTTGATCAGATTTCTTTTTAAAACCAAAGAGGTTGAAAGAGAGAAAGTTCCGTGGGTGGGGTGGGGGGTGGGGGGGCAGGATCTGCCTAGCTTTCGCTGGGCTCTCTGGGAGCTGGGAGCACTTGGATGGGAGTTCAGCGCCCTCACCTACTGCAGAGGCTGAGCCCTTGAGATTCACAGGGACACACACCATCATGCCGCCTTGGTGGCGACCTCGTCTCCCAGGTCCAGCGCCAGCGCCGCCTCCCCCCCCCCACTCCCCTGCCCCCCCCCACTAGGGACTGGAAGGGATTTCTTTAAGGTTCTTCACCTCAAAGCAAACCCTCAAGTGCTCTAACCAGGGAGGTGGCTTTTTACTGTTTTCCTAGAGGAGAAGTGCGCTCTGGGTAACCCCGATCCGGACCTGCGAAGCTGCGCTACCCCACCCCAAACCCCCACGAGAGATCAGCCTGTGAGCTGACACCCGAGCGCTGTTCAGTGATGACAGAGAGGGAGGTGGAGCCGCGGCTGGAGATGGATGGAGAAAGGGGCATCCGAGGGGCTGAGCACTGCTTCTCTGAGAGCAGGTGTCCTTTCCTGACGCTGCCCAGCCTTCCTCTCCTAGAGGGAGGCCAGCAGACTTCTGAGTTGGAGCACAGAAATTGGGGAGAGGGCTGGGCACCCCAGGACACGGTGTTTTCTGGGTCAGGAGATGAGCCGTGCCTGGGGTCCAGCCACAACTCCTTGCAGTTGCCACCCACCTTCCCGCCTTCTTCTAGCTGCGCTCCAGTGCGACAGTGACTTCCCCAAAGAGAATGGAACCCGTTCCGTGAGGGAGTCTTCTATTTATTATTATTATTATCAACATTATTATTTGCTATCCTGTTCCCCTAAGAAATAAAAGCCCTCGCTGCCCACCGAGATCAGCAGCAGCAGCTTTCCTAAATAACATCTCCCGAGATAGGCACTTAGCCCTCACTTTCAGCGCCCTCACCCCCCCCCGTAAAAAGCATCAGTCACCCCCCCCACACACACACAGCGGTTCCCATGACCAACATTAAATAACGGTTTCCATAAACCTTCATCAGCCCCCAAAGATCATCATCTACGCTCTCCCTACTGAGCCCGAAATGCCACACTTCCCCAGCGCGCCCGCGCCCGGGGGGCCGCACCCAACCTCCCAGCGCGGGGTTCAAGACCCCCTCTCTGCTCCTCGGGGCTTACTTCCCAGCCCCCAACCAGCCGCCGTCCATGCACGCGGGTTCCTCGCCCAGCACTCTGCAGCTCATGTCAAACAATGCAGCCCCCAAACGGGCGGAGAGCAGGAGCGAGCGAGAAGGGAAAAGGCCAGCCACCGCGGGGGACCACGATCTCCGTGGGAGATGAGGGGTGGGCTCCAGTGAGCCTGGAGCGCAGAAACCCGCACGCTCAGGCCCCCGCCTCACCCCTGCACCCTAGGTCGCCGCGGTCCCTCCCCCAGTGCCCCCCACCCCCCCCCCCCCCCCCCCCCCTACCTTCGTTGCTGGGGCTGGCCAAAAGGGTCCGGAGTGCGGCGCACAGAAGAAGGCAAGTCCACAGGGGGGCCCGGCGAGGTGCGGAGTAGCAGCCGGCCAGAGACACCTGGGCGCGGGCAGTGTCCACGCTGCTACCTGGGGTCCGCAGGCGTCCCGCACCCCGGGGCTCGGAGCCCCTCATTTTCTACTACCCTCCTCCCCTGCTACTGTCCGGAGCGAGCGGTTCAGTCCACGGCTCCCGCCTGGAGGAGGAGGCAAAGGAGACTCCGGAGGTGGGGAGAGGGGGTGGTGGTCTTCCCGGTCCTGTGCCTCCTGGCACAAGAGTCCTGCAAATGCGGGAACCACAGATCCGTTGAGACGGCTGAAGTTTGCTTTGGCTCCTTTCGGGCCCCGGGCTCGGCAGGAAGAAATGAATGACTAGTTCTGGTGGCTCGTTCAGTGCCGGATTGGGCTCGATCCAGGGAGTCCAAGGTGGCGTGGGGTGGGGGGTGGGCAGGGGTCCCACGACGTGTTCTTTTGCCTCTTTAGACTTTCCCCCCCCACTCTTTTTTTTGGAATGATGATGCTTTAAATGCCACTGGGCCGGGAAGGTGAAGGTTCTCTGCGCGTCTTCAGAGCTGAGATGCAGGAGGGTAAGGCAGACAAGTCATCTTAAAATCAAGACGAAATCTCTCTCCCCAGGGCAACAAGAGCAAGAACATAAAATAAAGGCAGGCTAAAGGAAATGGGGTTGAGAACATGCGGGGTGGGGAGGAGGGAGGGTGGGGAACAGGATCGGCGAGCCCAAGGCAAAGAGGCAGAGTTCAAAGAGGGCTGGAGGAGGGAAAAGGGCTGCGGGGCTGTGCGCGGGCGAGGGGCGGGACTGGCGGCGCCCGGAGCTGCGGCGGGCCCGGGCGGGCT